AAATACTGTTGCAGTGTTATATATCCTCATTTATACGTAAATTACAGGCTATATATATCCTTATGGAATTTAGCTAATACGAGTGAGAAACATTTCCAGTGACTGAAATAACAGCACAAAAATGGTCTTGCTTGTCCTGCTGGAGGTGTGTTTTTTTAAACTCTGATGTGGTTTCGTGGCTGGACTTTAAAATGATCTCCTGCATTACTTTAAGAATTGTTATTTTTGTTTAATTTCTATTGAAATATAAGTACGATGCACCATTATGCCTATCTAATGATAATACTGTGTATTTTGTCTTGGCTGCCTGATTCCTGGATGTGTTCTCAATCTCAGAACACCTCAACTGCCAGTTCTACATACCACTATTAGTTATCTCTCTTTCTAATATAGAAAGACACATATATTCCTTTCAAAAGATAACTGTTCATAAATTTCCCCAAGTAACATTAATCATCTTCAAGAATTTGTATTGATGGAAACTTTTTTTTTTGAGTGGTGGTGGAACGCGTAACAGATTTCAGGCTAGATTGGGACTTGGATTCATACCTATGCAAGGGAGTAAGAACATTGCTTACACTCCTGCATAGTCTACCGAGACCTTGCATTCTGATGCTGCATTGGCATGGAATAGGCAGAACTTTGGATCCACCCCTCACTCACTGGTCAGTGCAGCTGAGCAAGTGGGAGGGGTGTGTGTGTTGTAATTTGTTGCGGGTGTAGGTCAGCAGCAAATTACACTCCCTTGCCCCAACTGAGCTATGAGGAAACAAGGAAAGAACTATAACTTAGATATATCTCCTTCAAAAAATATTCACCCTTACTCACACTGGATAGTAACTTACTCTGCAAATAGTCCTTTTAATATCAACATGACTATTTGCTGAATAAGGCACTATGTAACATTGTCCCAGAATTGGGCATACTGTGGTTATTGAGGAAAATAGAGAAATTTGAAAATCCAATTGGATTAGAAATATTCAGGTACTATAAATAATAAACAAGAAGGGAGTTCTGGACTCAGTATTCTTTTATGTTGCTAGTCCTATTGAAACTAAACTCTCATAGTAATAAATTGTATAATGATAAATGTAACAGGAAGTATGCCCACGAACAATCCTGTTGGGAAAGTAATGTGGTGCATATGTTACATTTATTGTTGCAATTTTGGACCTTAAGGAGTGTATTCTCTGTGCACCATGGGAGTAAAGAACATGTTTTGCATAAGGGGTGCCGAGGTGTTTCTTGACATGAGCACTTCTGCACAAGCTAGCAGAGGTATGGTGTTTTTCCTTATAATTAAAATGTTTGGGCTTTCTGGATGGCACAGTACAAGAAGCACTATTTTTATGTGCTAAACTGTGTGTCACAGCAAGTAGAAAGATGATATGATATTAAAAAGAGGCAGAGTTAAATAATCCAGAAGAATTTGAAGTGGGAGATTTATTTATGCTTTATAATTCTGCAGAGGGAATTAGAAGAGCAATTTCTTCTCTCTCATTTCATTTTCATGTTGTTTCTTTTTACTTTGAAATTTGTTTCCGTAGTTCCTTTGCCAGGTTATTTCTTTTCCTTTTGTAATATTTTCTTTCACTTTTATGTATTTTATGTATGTATGCCAAATTGGTGTGAATGGCTATGTAATTTTGTAAATGTTTTCTTTTTTAATAAAATGTTTTTATTTCTTTGATTTGTTGAGGGGTTTTTGAAGGGGGGAAAAGTAAAGCAAGCTAATTTATCTAAAAATCTCTCTCTCTCTCTCTGTTCCCCTGCTCCATAAACCCCAGATAGCCTTATGACTTCTTATATTGTTCACATTTACAGGATTTTGTTTAAATAGGTTTTGATTACAATAACTTTTCCTTTATTATGATTTTGACTTTGATTATGATTCTGTCAGTAACTCGATGTATGCTGATCAACTTTTTTTTTTTATAAAAGAAATTAATAACACATTTTTTAAAAAGCAATTGCTGGTAGCCTGGTTTAGCCAATGGTTGAAGTGGTGCTTTAAAATTCCTTATAGTAGTCTTCTCTGGTCTGCCAATGGTTGATATTTCTAGCCTCAGAACTTTGATGTTATATATTGTCAGTATTATGATTATTATTTTATGTGTAGTGGCACCTAATGGTCCCACCCCCACTGTGCTGGGCTTTGTACAAACATGTAACAAAAGAGCAATCTCTACTCTGAGGAGTACACAACATGCATGCAGTTCTGGTCACTTCATCTAAAAAAAATAAGAATAGGAAAAGATTCTGAGGAGGGCCACGAAAATGATTAGGGGTATGGAACAGCTTCCATAAGAGGAGAGATTAAAAAGGCTGGGATGGCTCATCTTAGAAAAGAGACAACTAAGGAGGGGGTATGATAGAGGTCTATAAAATCATGACTGGTGTGGAGAAATTTGTTAAGAAAGTGTTATTTACCTCTTCACATAACACAAGAACTAGGGATCACCTGATGAAATGAATAGGCAGAAGGTTTCAAATAGACAAAAGGAAGTACTTTTTCAGTCAATGCACAGTCAACCTGTGGAACTTGTTGCCAGGGGATGTTGTAAAGGCCAAAATTATAACGGGGTCCAGAAAAGAATTAGATAAATTCATGGAGGATACATCTATCAATGGCTATTAGGTAAGTTCATGGAGGATAGGTCCACCAATGGCTATTAGCCAAGATGGTCAGGGATGCAACCCCATGTCCCTAAACCTCCAAATGTGAAAAGTTGGGACTGGACGATAAGGGATTGATCCCTCAAAATTGCCCTGTTCTGTTCATTCCTTCTGAAGCATCTAGCACTGGTTACTGTCGAAAGGCAGGATACTGGGCTAGATGGACCATTGATCTGACCCAGGATGACCATTGTTATGTTCTGAAGAGCTCACAGTCAAGACCAGAAGACCAGTTTGCAGGGTTTTTTCCCCCCAAAATGTTACCACTGTCACTGAATTACCTTTCTTGCACAGTCCTGTCTTTGGTGGAGAAGTCACCTCTAAGGACAGTCCTGGGGTACCTAGGGCCAGTGGGGGTGCCTGGTAGTGCATGGCTCCAATGATGCACTGACAGTGAGTGTGGCCAGAAATTCCCTGGACACAGAGATGGTGCAGAACTACAAGGCTTCCAGCTTGATGATCCAGGCCTTCCACTCATTCCTCATGGTCACTGCAGATCCAGGAGGTTCCACGGGGCGTGGACCTACTAGCTCATTCCTCTGCAGGGAGGGTCAAAAGCAACCAGCTTTTCTCCAACATAAAGCTTTGTAAGGGAAACCTAGTGGAAATTTTCTCTCCCTCACCCTCCCATGAGTTTTACTGTAAAACATCCCCTGGACCCATTGGGCCTAGAGGTCTGCTTGGGCCTAATTTGGGGCCCAAATGAGAACTGGGCACAACCGACCTGACCCAAGTCTGGGAGGGTTGAGTGGTTTTCCGACCCAACCCTTCCCCCCCAAAACTGAGTCAATGACAATGATGCCTCTTACCCATGTGTTCGGCTCTCTTCTTGCCTGTGAGGTCAGCGTGGCAGTGACTGTGCCATGGTCTTGCTGTCCATCACCCCTTGCTGTGCTGTGTGTCCTGTGGAGTGAAAGATGCCGCAGCTCCTCTGCACACTCTGCAGCACGCACAGCGCAGCGAGGTGGCAGAGGCCAGCTAGAGCAGGGCATAGAGCTGCTGCCGTACCGACCCCACAGGCAGGAGACCCGACCCCAGCCTGAGAGGATCTGGTTGTTTTCCCACATGACACAGACCCAACACTTGTAGTCAGGTGCCGTTGGATTCAGGTCAGGTTGCAGGGTTCTCATCTGGCCTCCATTACTGTAGCATCTAAGCAGCTCACAGTTTTTAATCTGTTTATCCTTATCATACCCTTGTGAGGGAGGGAAGTATTATCCTCTCCCCTTTACTGATGGGGAACTGAGCCACATGGAGGCTAAGTGACTTATTCAAGTCACACAAGGAGGTCTGTGGTGGAGCAGGGAATTTAACCTTGATCTTCCAACTCCGAGCACTGGATGCACTGTCCTTTACTCCTGTAGGAACATTGGCATAATAAAGCAAACAGGCTTCGTCTCTGTATGAAGTTGTAGCTCGTACTAAAAGAATTCTTACTGTTTGCATTCTTGTAAGTGTGACAGTATTAGGTCTCATCTTAGATACCATATGTGCATGAGAATATCCTATCCTGTTGCCTGGCTCAGTATTGCCAACCCCAAACCTTCAAAATCATGAGATTGGCTTAAAAAATCATGATTTTAAAAAAATTATAAATTTGCGATTTTTTTACTTGCCTTCTGGGTTTTGAGCCTTTAGATTTTGTTTTTTCAAATGTTTCTCTGCAGCCACGAAGGCTAGAAACTTATATTTTTCTTTAAATGGAAGCTGAGATTCTCACAAAATCGCAGAACTCCAGCAGCTGGAACACCAAATATCGCGAGACTGGTGATAAATTCCTAAGAGTTGGCAACACTGCAGACCAAGAAAAGCCATGTGATGAAGAGGCACTTTTCACCCCTAGCATTTGCTTTGTTTGATATCAAAGGCCAATAACTGGAGCTTTTGTTCATACCCCTTTTCCTGTGGTACCCATATAATTAAACAGTTAACACATTTCAGAAATAATGTTATAATTATTGTAATTAAATAGAGTTTCTTTTACAAGCTAAGAGCCTACTGAGTTGATGTTTCTCTGATGTTAGAAATACCCTTCCTCCTCACTTGCATATTTTTACATGATCAATCTGGATCAGTGCATCTAGATCAAGGGGCAAAATTTTCAAAAGAACTTGTCTGACTTTGATGCCTCAGTGATATTTTCAAAAGAGACTTAGTCCCAGATTTTTAAGGTTGCTCTGCTCAATGTTGCAATGCCTAAGTCCCATTTTCAAAATAAAAGTCTCATGAAACGTAGGCTCCTTGAGTTTGAAAATTCTACTCCATGTCTGTCCTGACTTCATCCTCTCTTGTGCCTTGCTGACCAAGTATGTCCATTTAAACAGACCTCTCCATCTGATGAGGCAAGCAAAAAGCAGCTTTTGATGCCCCATCGCCTTTCAGTGGACCATTGTGACCTGCCATTTCAAAGACAACGAGCAGTGAGTGCAGTCAGTATCATTACCAGTGCCATGGAAGGTAAGACATTCCGTACTGATTCCTTCATTCAAACCCAAGTATATGTTGGTAGCAAAGATCATACTGTCATAAATTTCAATATCTGTTACCACAAAAAAAGTTGCCATACTAGGGGTTAGTGTGATCATTATGCCACAAATATAACGGAGGGAGCAGCACTGAGGAGCCTAAGGAGGTGTGCTGCCCTGAAAGCAGGGCTGGAACTCAGACTGTGAGAGTCACAGGTTAGTTCCTGCTTCCTCCTTGCTTCAGGGGGAAGTAATCTGCAGGAGCCCTGCTGACCGAAATTACTGCCTACTCTGCCCCAGTTCTGAAGCATGGGCCAGTGCATGGACGAGGTGGAGTCAAGATTCTGCCCATTCCCCTCTTACCTGCATGGGAGGTGGAGGAGTAGCCTACTGGCAGCTGCTCTCCCCTCCTCCATGCAAGCTCCAATGATATGAGCAGCCCATACGGGAGTGTAAATCAGGTTCCTACATCCAGCACTCCAAATTGCATCACATTTAAGTATATACAGGTAAAAGAGTAAATGACATACACTTTTTTTGTAAATAACAATCAAAATGAGATATTCAAAAATATTCTCATTGCCAGTCAAGTGAACTGCATTGCAGGTGCACCTTGCATGAAATGTGTTTCCAAAAAACAAAACCGTTTTCAATCTTGTCTAGAATTTTTCCTAAAAGCAAAAGTGGTTTTCTGAAAAGAGCACAGTAGGTGAAAATGATAAATTTCCATCTGCGTCCAGTTCATGACTTTGGATCATCCCAACCACTAAAATGTTAGTTCAGTGGCAGAGATAGCAAAATCCCCACCCCAAGATTTGGATCAAATTTATGATTATTTTCAAAATACATCTGTACCCCGATATAACACGAATTCGGATATAACGCGGTAAAGCAGTGCTCCGGGGGGGTGGGGCTGCGCACTCTAGTGGATCAAAGCAAGTTCGATATAACGTGGTTTCACCTATAACACGGTAAGATTTTTTGGCTCCCGAGGACAGCGTTATATCGAGGTAGAAGTGTACTAGTATTTGTCCACAAATGTTTACAAGACAAAAAATACTATTTTCCCCAACTCTAAATGGGAGACGCATGTAGTATATAAATAAAGTGAAAATTGCTGTTGTTTATTTAAGGTATCCTTATTATTTGTTTTTATTTAAGGATCTTTAAAAGGTTCTAGAACAATATTAGTGTATCAGATCACATATACTATCAACTTGTTTCTGACTGCATCCTTAGTCGTTAATCACTTGGGGGGCGGGGGATTTTTTATTTCGTCCCTCCTTCAAAATTTTACATCTGGCAACAACTGTTATGCTTGAAAATGATGGTCATAACTGAGAGATTTCCAAATATTTCTTATGAAGAAATGGTAACAGGCACTACTGTATGGAACAGTACATGTAATCCACCCTACAGTCACCAATCTCCTGCAAGTAGACCCAATTGCTTGGTACCACTTGCTTCCAAGCTACCTGTGTCTGGATAGAGTCTAGGCACAATTTCTTGCTCTTGTTAAGGATTTTTCAATTGTGCAGTTTAATTGGGTCTTTGCTCTTGGGACATTGGGTTCCGTTTTCAATTTATAAATATGGATTATATTTCTGTCCTGTTTGTATATACATCCAGATCATAGAATGGACAAATATTTATACATCAAATTAAATAAATAAATGTGGCCTCTAAAACTAAGCACACATCAGCTGTCATGCACAAAAGCAGCATTTGTGCATAAAAACTAGTATTTGCATGCCCAAAATGGGTAATTAGAGGCGGGATTACCCAGTCTGTATGCACAAATATGAGTTTGCACTTTCAAATTTGGATTTTGCTCACACAAAAACTTATACACATGTTTTCAAGCCTGTTTTTAGTTGCCATTTTTGATACTATTGTGCTATATAAACTTGGTATATCTCACCTCAGTCAAAGCCATAATCTGCTTAATCTGGGCCATTGGCACTCATCCCACATGGGAAGGCATCAGTTTTCAGACTAATCCACTTTAAAATAGATTATAATTATGTTTCATGAATACCGCAAGCTTTGTACGTCTCACTTGGTACTCAGTGAGGATTCCATCGATGATTGTGGCCCTGAAATGGTAATAGACTCCCTATGGAGCCTCATTGAAGTCACTTGTGGGTACACCTACAATGATCCAGCTGCAGGATCGGTACCTAGTCACAGTTTGGGTTCTGTTGTGTATTGCATACACCCCAAAGTTAGGGAGAGCTTGGATCCGGTATTTTGTTTATAAACACACGGACATTTTTGGAAATTCAGATCCAGTTCTGAGTTTGGTTTTCAAACTACCCCCCCCTCCCCAAAATCAGAATATTTATTAGGTGACTTGGTGAGAGTGCTGATAAAGATAAGTGATTGTCAAGTAAACAAACTTTCTACAACAGCCATTTGTGTAATATTTATTGTGGAAAAGCTTTTTTCTGGGCTTCAGATTCATGATTCTATCTGAATAAAATCTATTTGAATAGAATCTCATCATAATTTTTTTCAGAACAGCTCCTTCATCATTTCATAGTGTAGAAATGAAAACTCTTTCCTGGAAACATAGAAAGACAGTGGAAAGGAATTAAATTTCTGGTCTACAAATCATAAACAATGACAATGAATAGCCGTCCCCCCTCCCCACCACTTCTTCAGTTCAACAGCATTTCAGTGTATCATGGCTACAGTTTCATAGTAACTGATACATTGTTATTAACAGAAATGATTTTTCAAAACACATCCCCCCACAAACTGATGCACCGACAAGTCTTGGAATACGTATCAAAGAGGTCTGCGTTCAGAAACAGTTTGTGTTATACAGCTGTGTTACAAATCTTTTTTGCAGGCAGCTTTGATGTGTAGGCCAATGAGCCCTAGCTGATATAGCACAGAGGGACTCACCATGTGTAATTTAACGGATATTTAGAGTTCCCAAAGTTTTGTTGCTAAACAAAATCTAAATGTTTGTAGGCTGAGCTGGCCAGGCTGGAGTAGAGGCCATGACAGATAATTCGGTAGGCGTGGGAGCCTGAACTAAGTATATCACTGCAGTACTGGTCATGGAGAAGGGAGGTCAGCGGGCTTATCTGCACTTGTTCCTCTTTCCATGGCAGCCAGCACCTATTCATATGCCCTGGCACCACTAGCAGCAGATGTCCTGTAGAAGTGGCCTTTTAAACCCCCCAGAGCCTGTCCAGGGGAATACAAACTTCCTGCGGCTAAAGGCCAGTTACTGTGGGCTAAGGTTTTTCCCAGGTGAAAGGTACAGGCCACAGGCAGGAGAGAGGAGCAGACAATGAGCCCAGATAACTCGAGTAATAATTTGAGTGTTGCCCCTAACTCAAGTACCATCCACATAGAAAAAATATTAAACTGAGTGTCATGGTGCTTTAACCCCAGTTAGCCTATACTCCCGGAGGGACCAGCCATAGCTGGAGTCAGCACAACTCATCAGCTGCTAACACGATCACTCTGTGCAGCAAAGGGCCATTGACTCAACATCAAAAATCCACTAGCTGAAGATCTGGTCCAATGAGTTAAATAGTTTGGCAAAAAAAAAACCCACCTTCCTCTCTCTCAGTTGCACATGTTTCATTCCGTTTACTCTTATGATCTCATCACCTCACTAGTTCTCCACTGAGTCCTACAAGCTAGAAAGGACCTGAATTTCTAATTTAAAAAATAAACAGGAACAAAACCACAAACAAAACCAATGTTCTGTGTGTTCTTTATACACCAGAAGGAAGCAAAAAAAAAAAAAAAAAAAGGGCATGGGTCCAATTTTATTTTTCCCTTTGCAGTTCACCCTTAACAAAGGTTGTCATATCTGCCATGGGTTTCAGAAATTAATGTAGGTAAGAAATAGTCATACAGCTGACATGGTGTTTATCATATTAAGCTATGGTGCCAAAATCAATAAATCTGTAAGAAGCTAGATCAGTTAGAAAAAGTTACATTAAATTAATTAATTGGTATGTTCTAATGTTTGACGCCTAGCTATAGGCATGTATAGGCATCCACTATTGCTCTTAAATTATTTTGACAAATGATGGTCACTCTTCTTGGGATATAGTAGATAGTAAGTACTATCTGTATTTTTGTTTTATTAGAACAGGAGTGCTAGCAACAGGCCTGGAAAATTTCTGTATCTGAACTTTTAGTAAAATTGGTTGGGATGTTTGAATACCAGGAAAGTTTTTTAAAAATCCCATCCCTGTTTAAAGATGATCCTTGTGTCTATTTTTAAGTGTTCTGATGCTGAAGAGACTGAAGTAGAAAGTTAAAATTTGCCAGGGAGATAGTTCTCTTTGAGGAGAAGTGTCTTTGCGTATTCCAGGCCAAATTGGTTTGATTTGACTGAGTAGTAAGTTTTATGATAGCCCCATTAACAACAGTCTGCCAATTTTACAAATAGACCCAAATGGATAACTGATATTTTTGACGTGGAGGCCAAATTGAAAAATCAGGGAGAAAAAATTGTTTCAGGTAGACCCAAAATGGAAATTTTTTTAGTTGTTCAGCAAAATTGAAAAGTTAAAAAAAAAAGTAAAGTCAAATAAAATGTTTTGTTTCAATATTGAGGTTTTTAAAACATTTTAATTTTTTTTTCAATAAAATTGAAGTAAATTTTGAAATGAAACATCTTTCTGAAACAAAAAGTTTAAATGTTTCATTTCACAAAATGCCAAAACAAACCAATTCAACATTTCTGGGTTGGTTTTTTTTCTCATTGAAATAATTTGCCAAAATGGACCTGAATTCACAAATCATTTTGGTGGACCCAAATCTGCCTTTTTCAGCGAATAAATGATTTGCATAAAAATTTCACTCAGCTCTAGTTACAAAAGCCTGTGGACTTCAGTGCACCTGTGTACATAACTAATGCAGTTTGTGTACTAATTGCTCAATTCCGTTCCTTTTGAAATCAATGGGAATTTTTCCTTTGGCTTCATTGGACGTTAGACTGGGTCCTGAACGTTTTAAAATATAGTCCACATTTGCACATTGAGATCAATTGTGTCTAACTTTAGCACATGAGCAGTTCTAAAAGGCTAACTTCAAGTGTGTCGTTTTTATTGTGCAAAGGAGGTGGAACTTGAATGGGGTGCTTTTACAATCAGTTCCTTGATTCAGCAAGGGCCTTAAGTGCATATTTAACTTTAACTACTTGATTAGTGGGACTGCTCCAGCAAGTGATTTAAGCATGTACCCTAACCCACGCTCAAGTCCCTTGCTGAATCAGGGCCAGCATGAGAAAGGTCTCCATTGTAGTTCCACCCAATTCCTTGCACAGTAAAAATGGCCATCGACTGATACAAGGCTCTGTAGGAGCTTGTGCATATGAAACCTTTATTCCATCAGCACAGACATTGTTTTACATAACTGAAAATGTTATGTGACTGAAAGGGAATGTAGGGTAATATGCCACAGCCTCCTCACCTTTGGGACAGCGCTCTTCGTTCCAGACACAGAAAGGGCCGATGTACAAAGTATACAATCTGGCCTGTGGGATGCAGACAGAAAACTCAAACTCATGGGTAAAATCCTGGCCCCATTAAAGACCCAGTGACTTCAGTGATTTCATCCTATATTTTTAAAAGTTTGCTAGTAGAATCCTAATATGTGATACTGTAGTTTTGTCGCTCAGTGAAGGGCAGAGCATAGAGGCCCCTGGCTGTTTATAAACAGATTGTAATTGGTTGACTGAAGTTGTTCTGTTATCAGTTATAGTTCTAATTATATAGACCAAAACCTTTAACCAGCATTCCATGTCCATAAAGGAACCAGAAAAGAGGAACATTAAATAATTCTGTTAATAATAATCATTAAGCAGATAACTGACTTCTTTTATTTGTTTCACTGATCTATGCAAATTATCCTTGTGAGGCCATTTTAATTATTTCCTGTTCAATTAAAATGGATGAAATATGATGAAAATCAGAGAAAACAGGTAATGTTTTCAAAAGCAGCTAAGGGACTTAGGAGCCTAAGCACTATTTTCAAAAGTGACTTAGGCACCTATGTTCTATTCACTTTTAATGAGACTTAGCCCAGGTCTATACTACCAACTTATGTCGATATAACTATGTTGCTCAGGGGTGTGGAACTGCTACACTGCAAAATTGGCCATTGCTACACTGCAAAATTATGTTGACCTAACATATGTTGGCATACAGCCAGTGCAGTTACTAAATCGCTAAACCTGGGTCCTTGTGTTGGCGGTGCTCATACTCACCAGGAGCGCTTGTATCGATTATATTGTCAGTGTGGGGCATTATGGGATTGCTCCTGAAAGTCAGTAACAGTCGATGTAAGCAACACAGTGTCTACACTGACATCGTGTCAACCTAATTACATCCACCATGACTCTACGCCACTCAGTGGTGTTACTAAATTGACGTAGAAAGGCACTTATATCAGCAGTAGCCAAATTTATGTAGTGACACTTTCACAGCTAGGTCAATGTAAGGCAGCTTATGCCGACCTAACTGTATAATGTAGACCAGGCCGTAATTATATTGACCTAACCTACAGTGTAGACAGTGCTAGGGTTTGCTGTCTATTGTGGAGGACCTACACCAACAGGAGAAGCTCTCCCATCAGCCTACGTAGCATCTTCACTAAGCACTACAGCAGGACAGCTGCACTGCTGTAAGTACAGACAAGCTCTCAAGCTCCTAAGTGCCTAAGTCACTTCTCATAATATGATTTAGGCAATTTTAAAAATGTTACCTTATATTTCAGTTCTGTGAGGTAAATTTAAATTAGCCAGATACAGTGTTCTCTTTCCCCCACAGTCTAGGCTATCACCGCGAAATGGGAAGTAAATCTGACCTTTCATATTAAATTAGATTTGTGTTACTTTTGTAATTTTAGTGTTTCCTACTGTTACTCTTGAGACGTTATAGTGGGGTCAGCAGCATTTGGCATGTGGCCCATCAGGGTAATCTGCTGGCGGGATGCGAGACGTTTTATTTACGTTGACCGTCCGCAGGCACAGCCCCTCCACCCCTCCACCACACCCCCCGCAGCTCCCAGTGGCTGCGGTTCGGCATTCCCAGCCAATGAGAGCTGCGGGAAGCAGCAGGTTGCAGGGAAGTGCGTTATAGGCTTTGAGGATTATGTCAACACTGTGCTCAGTCCTGTGCAATATGCAAAAAATAAAGACAATCCATGTCCTCAAAGAGTTTATATTTTACCAGGTTGTTGGGGTAGGACTATTTGTCTATTAAAAAGCAGATTAATTATAGAATCATAGACTTTAAGGTCAGAAGGGACCATTATGATAATCTAATCTGACCTCCTGCACAATGCAGGCCACAGAATCTCAGCCACCCATTCCTGTATCAAACCCCTAACCTATATCTGAGCTATTGAAGTCCTCAAATCGTGATTTAACGACTTCAAGGTGCAGAGAATCCTCCAGCAAGTGATCTATGCCCCACGCTGCAGAGAAAGGCGAAAAACCCCCAGGGCCTCTGCCAATCTGCCCCGGAGGAAAATTCCTTTTCAACTCCAAATATGGCAATCAGCTAAACCCTGAGCATGTGGGCAAGACTCACCAGCCAGACACCCAGGAAAGAATTCTCTGTAGTAACTCAGATCCTACCCCATCTAACATCCCATCACAGGCCATTGGGCATATTTACCGCTAATATTCAAAGATCAATTCATTGCCAAAATTAGGCTATCCCATCATACCATCCCCTTCATAAACTTATCAAGCTTAGTCTTGAAGCCAGATATGTCTTTTGCCCCCACTGCTCCCCTTGGAAGGCTGTTCCAGAACTTCACTCCTCTTGGTCATTCTTGGTCATTTAGATGGATGCTGGTGGGTTTTCTTCTGTGCTTTGATTCGTTTAAAGTATTCTCGTGTCACATAATTCAGTGTTATTTGACTATTACGTCACATTCTGCTTCTCACTTAGAGCTTGAGGAATCACAACAGCGATGTCCTCCATGCTGGAATCATTTTGCCGTTAAATTTCTCATTTGGGATTGCTCTCCATTGTGGTTGTTAATCAAGAAACATGTGAAGTTTGTGGTAATGGATCCATTTACTGACCTCACGATCACCCTTTGCATTGTGATGAATACTCTCTTCATGGCATTGGAGCATTACAAGATGACGAAGGAGTTTGATGACATGCTTTACATAGGCAATCTGGTAAGTGAATTTGAACCCAAAATTATATCTGGAGAGTTTATTTCTGCTCTTTCAAGTTCTGAAGGCTGAAAAATATTGGCGCTAGAGGTCTTAGGAAGAACCCATTTGGTGTGCTGTCAGCACAACCTTGTACATGTCATGCCAAGCAAGGGTAGCTTGCTTTATTTGGTGGCCCTCATGGCATTTGAAGAGAAATGAAGAAAGGATATGTGGCTACTGTCACTATGCAAGCATACTCTGCTGCTCATTAGTGGACAGTAAAGCGTCACTTCAGTGCTGAGACCAACAGATTTCCAGTGGGTAACTATTCTAGGAACTGAAGGAAGAAGGATCTTAAAAAGTTTTTAAAAATCAATAATAAGGATGTATAGGAACATTAGTGATTTCTTTTAAGTTAAAGAATCCTATGGAAAAAATAAGCTAGTGCCCCAGTGGGGAAGTAGCCTTGAGTTATCACTTTTATAGTTATACTACAGCCAAGATTTTCAAGTGTCTAACAGAGTAATAAAGTTTAAGGCCAGACAGGACCACCAAATCATCTAGTCCAATCTCCTGTATGTCATAGGGCACCAAGACCACCCGGCACCTACACACTAAACACAACAGATTTTCTCAGTTTGGGGCTTCCCAGCTTGAGACATCTACAGCGCTCTGATTTAAGATCATGCTGAACACCCACCTTCTGGAAATCAAGCTCTTTTAAGGGCTCTCAAGTTTGGCACTCAGAAATTGAGGCACTCAGAATCACTAAACCTTTGAAACTGTTAGCCATATTCTAGAGAAAATACAGGCAGTATATTCTCCTACAGATTATCATCCAGAAAGAAGCACATACTGGGTTTAAGGTTATTTTCATTTTTGTAAAAAAAATGGTACTAATCAATTATTGAAATACTTGAGAAAGTATATATGTGTCCATTCACACTATTCCACCAACATGGACTCCTGGAGCTGACAGGTACAAATAGGCAGAAGCAACTGTTAGGCTTCTCAGAGTAGTCCTTTTCCCTTGGAATCTGCTGACCACCAGATACAGAATTTTCCCTCACTACTTCTCTCCATTCTGAAAACTGCACCAATTGGCTTCCTCCAGCAGTGTCAACTACTCTCCTAGGCAGATGGACCAATCACCAGATCTTAAGCTGTTCAGTCTTGAGAGATTTCTCTTTGTAGCTATGGTCAGTGAGGGGCTTCTGTATTGCTCCAAGACCTATGTTATTGCTCTTCATGGATAGCACCAGCTATAAAAGGAGCTAAATAGCCCTCTAATTGGGCTGCATTGGCTCCCCTTAACAGCAGACCCATATTCAGGAATTTTGATGCCTCATCTTATTCCCCACATGGACAAAATGGAGGTCTCCCAGTTCCTGGGGCTTCTCAGCATGTGATCAGGTGGCAATTCTGCAGCTGCCCACTCTGACACCCCAGAGCAAAGATGCTCATGCTCCCTGCTCTGCACTTGGCCTATCATCTTTTCCCCTTGCCCAGTCTACAGGTAACTTTAGATTCCAGCAGCGCCTGTGTGACTCCCCCACAATTCTGCCTGGCAGAATTTGGATGACCTATGTGCAACCACTCTTAGTAGAGGAGAAAACAGAGACAAGAAACAAAAGAAGTTGAAAAGCAATTGACCTTCTCTTGCTCCGAGTCTCTCAGTACTGCTGTGCTGGAGCCAATTCTCCTGTTTGTGGTAATGATGAAAAAATAAAACCAAGCAGGCATTCTTCTTGCAATGCTGTTTGCAATGGGCTTCAGTGAAAGGACAGTTCTTCAGATGAAATATCAGTGGCTCAAGACCATCCTTGGCCCTTCCTCCTCAGTTTTATTAAACCCAGACTTAAATGGGTTATTAGTAGAGCTAGGCACAGAAAGGTAATTCTGTCTCACCGAGGTTTTTAATAGCTCAACATTTGGTTTTGTTTCGATTTGGGATGAAAACCCAGCATTTCAAAATTCTCCACAAAAGGGAATGGAGCCTCAGCTCCAGGCTGGCTGGCTGGCTGGCTGGAGCTGTGAATATTGGAAGCTCTGGGGTTCCCAGCTTTGAGGCAGTTCACTTGGTGAGCTGCCCCAGAGCCATGGACCCTGGAAGCCCTAGAGCCCCGATGCCCTAAAGCCCTGGACTGGCAGTCCAACAGCTGGGATGCTGAGGAGCCAGGCGGGTGAGCTGACAGGAAACCTGGCAGGTTTTTGATGGAAGGTCTGCAGGAGCCCTGCCTGAGTTCTGTTGGAACATTGCAGAGATCAAACAGTCTCTTCAAAATGTTTTGATTTTGGCAAATCAGCAAATTCTGATAAAACAATGTTTCAACAGAATTTTTCCAACTGGCTCTAGTTATTAGCATGACTTTATGAAGAATGTCTGTCTGTCTCAAGTCTCCTCGCTGCAAGTTCCTAAAGGAGCAAAATCAGTATTCTCTTCTTCCTAGCCAAACTCAAAAATGCTAGTAGTTCTCCAGTGCTTTCTGATAGAGTTTTCCCTATAGCTATCCCTCCTTAGCAGGTAGGGTAGTATTAAATGGGGGGAAATAATAGGGAATAAAAGACCATTTGCTTTTTTTCTCTAAAGAAATCATGAAAGAAACAATAGAAAGAAAAGGAAACAAGTGTCCTTATCCTCCAAGAATAAGAAGGGAGAGTGCAACTCTTCATCTGGCACTTGTGAGAATCAGTCATTGAAGAGCTTCAGTTCTGATGATATTATTTGCATCATAAAATTATGCAACAAAGCTCTGGTTCTCTGACTCCCCAGGCTCATCATCTAAAGAAGATAATGTTTTTACCTGATATCAAGAAAAATAGCAGAATTATACTCACATCTCTGCATGCTTCATCTGACCAGGCTACCTGCAGTGATGCCAGTTCTTCAACACCAGACAGCAATATTTTCTATATTTTTCATCCTTCCAAAGAAATCAAGAGGTTATTGATCTAAATTAGATAGGTTAGCAACATCATTAATACTTACCATAATCGTATACCATAACCAATACCAGTTTATGGCTCCACTCCTGAAGACAATGTCCAAGTAATCCCCTCTCTGGATGATTAGTTAGTGAAAGCAGTTTTTTGTACAATCACAGCTAGCACTGAACAAGGTTCCAGTGATTCTGTGATACATTGCTGTTTGGAATTCATAACTAATACACAGAAGAGTCACTTCTGCCTTTACAGATTCTGATTCCCTCAGAAGCTCTGATGTCTTATTAGCCCTAGAGTTTCCATCTCAAAAGATTATTGATTAAAAAGAAATTGTTCCTCCTGAGTCATCCCTCAGCAAGACAATTGCATGATGTGCTCAGCATGATATCATCAGTTTTTGAATCAGGTTCTGGGTACAACTTCACAAACATTGACTATGGTGTTTAATATCCCCATGGAATTTTCAGTCACTGGAATACTAAGTATCTCTAACCACAGTGACTCAGAAATTGTTAACTTGTTGGAAATCAGAGGTGAGTCTGTCTGGTGCAGTACTACTGCTGGAGACCAGTTGGGCTGAAGTAATTTAGCATGTTGGTCTTTTAAGAAGGATGGTCCATCCAAAATGTTTTGACCAGAGAAATTTTATCTTCCTGATCAGAAAGAGAAAGGCATTTTAGATATGGAAACATATAAAATTGCTATATGAAAGTCTGTCTACCTGTTCATTCGTTCCCCAAGCATTATTTATAGAGTAAATGTTGCAGCTTCCTCAAATGCAGGTTTGGCCATTTGTTCCTTAGCATTGCCATTTTATAATTCTATATGATCCTCCCTTATCTCATTTGGTTTTCCTAATTGTTACTTAGAGCCCATTAATCTGTCTTGCTGGAGCACTATTGCAGAAACCTAGTTTATAGGTTAGACAGAATTTCCTCTTGTGTGAACATTACTGGTAGACTTAAGTCCATAACATATACATATCTTCTGATCTCCAGTGTGCATTGACATAGGCTGTTGTATCATGGAAAATCAGCTGCTGTAATATGCAAATACAGTAGATGATTTTTCAAGACACACAGCTGTGTGCACCTTTCACCAGAGGGTTAGACTCAAAATAAAACAGTATGTGAAAAACTGTGTGTCTACATACTACCTTCTCTTTTAAGCCAATTATTTACAACCTTGTACTTAAATCAGTTTTTTTTAAGGGATTTTTAAAAGCACTAGATTTAGCATTTTCACACAGTTTGTGATTATGGGTTCAAATAAGATACCTCCTTTAAAATCTGGTTTGCCATCAACAAACAGGCTCCCCTCCATAAGTATGTGTATGTTTTACAGAAAAATGTTCAGATTAAAAAAATTTCACTGTGTAATATTTGAACTAGGTTATAAATAAACAAAGTGTTCTCAAGGCACTTTCAAAAGCAAATTGCCGTGTCTATTTTTAAAAGAATAATAAGACTCAAATTAGAGTTCCTAATCACCATCACCGCCAGCAGTAATCTGAAAGTGCGAGGACTACACTGCATGGGATTGGTGCAATAACAGAAACAAAAGGCTAACTCTACAGGTATGCTGGAAACCAAAAGTACCTCTTTAACTGTGTCATAAAATCACTCTCACCTCCCCACTGAAATTGACGGACTTAAGCTTTTTAAAAAGCACCTTTATTCTCTCACCTTATTATTGATATCTGTTTGTATGATAGAGGGAGATGAAAATTAGTGTCTTAATTCAAAGGTATAGCTCATTCCCTGTTGTTGTTTGTTGACAGCAATACTAATATTGTAAAAGGATCAGACAAGCCCAGAATACTGATAATACTGACAGTAAGTACTGACAGTACGTTAGAGATGAAAGAAGAAAGGTTTGCTGGTAAAATGTTGTTGTCTCTGTATTTTAATTCAACATATCGGTAGGAAATCATTCATGACAGGAGATGTGTTTACAGACTGATCTCACTTCCTCTTTCCTTTCCACAGGTCTTCACTGGGATTTTTACAGCAGAAATGATCTTCAAAATAATTGCCTTAGATCCCTACTACTATTTTCAGCAGGGCTGGAATATTTTTGACAGTATAATTGTTATCCTAAGCCTAATGGAACTGGGTTTATCCAGCATGGGAAATCTGTCTGTTTTACGCTCATTCAGATTGGTAATGTTTCCTTATTCTCTTTTGCAAAACATAACCCCTTTCAAGAATGTATTAGATTCTCTTAAAATTACATTCATTGAAAAGGAAATACAATTTTACAAATTAGTGAATGCCTGCAGTGACACTAATTATAGACTATGGGCCAAATGGAATTACTCCAGATTTACAACAGAGTAAATGAGAACAGAATTTGACTCTGTTTAGCTGTGTCAGTTACTTGCAACACATTTAAACTGAGTTTGCATAGAACTTAATAGAAAAGTCGGTAGATAATTAATGAACTGTGAAGCTCAAGAACGGGTTGGCAACTTCTGGCACGCAGCTCGCCAGGGTAAGCACCCTGGTGGGCCGGGCCAGTTTGTTTACCTGCCGCGTCCGCAGGTTCGGCCGATCGCGGCTCCCACTGGCCACAGTTCGCCGCTCCAGGCCAATGGGGACTGTGGGAAGAGGCGCGGGCCAAGTGATGTGCTGGCCGCGGCTTCCCGCCACCCCCATTGGCCTGGAGCAGCGAATCGCGGCCAGTGGGAGCCACGATCGGCCGAACCTGTGGACGTGGCAGGTAAACAAACTGGCCTGGCCCGCCAGGGTGCTTATCCTGGCAAGCTGTATGCCAGAGGTTGCCGACCCCTGCTCAAGAACTAGTAACATGTCATTTTACAGGTTTTTATTCCTTAAATACATAATAAACATGCCACTGTATTTTTAAATGTAGTCAAAAGTGGATAGCTCTGCATTAATTGCAAACTGATTTTTTTCCCCAGAACCTATCACCAAAATACAGAACCTGTCTTGCAGTGAAAATCCTTCACCGTCAATCCTTTTAAATGTGCAGAGGGGTGACACTCCATTAATGGGAGAATCTGTTGATGCATTGGAACAGAAAAGTAGTTTTCTTGCCAGCCTGACACTTGTGTCACATTCATGTACCAAGATGGCCATGCTAATCATTCTGCCCATTATGTTGCTTTACAAGTTTTGCAAGACCATGAAAACAGACTTTTCTTTTCAAGAAGACTTAACTGCCCTAACTTTACCATCTATAAATATTTGCTCCCTGAAAATTGCAAAAGTATGGCCTGATATTGCCAGTGGCTGAATGCCTCCTGCAAACCCTCTTCAGTAGGGATTAAATTAACCCCTGTGCAGAGAGCCAGTATAAGACCTAAAAAGCAACAGAGGGTCGTGTGGCACCTTTAAGACTAACAGAAGTATTGGAGCATAAGCTTTCGTGGGTGAATGCCCACTTCATCAGACACAAGTATAAGACCTAGGCATCATTAAGTCCTCAAAATAGGTCTTAAGTGGGATTTAGATGATTTATAGGCCTTATGGTCCTAGAGTTGCCAATTTTGGTTGGATGTATTCCTGGAGATTTCATCACATGACATAATCTTTAATTAAAGATTAGTCTTTAATTCCTGGAGACTCCAGGCCAATACTGGAGGGTTGGCAACCCTATATGGTCCTCTGCACAGAGGCGAATCTCTGGGATTGAAAGGTAGCAGCATCTTGCTAAGGCCTACTCAGGAACACACAGGAGAGCACCTCCCTTTGTGGGACTGGGCCCTTAAAAGTCCAGGCAGCTTGTTTAAAGTTATCTTTTTTGAGACACAGGAACACAAAAGGCAATGTTAAGGACTGAGGCTATGTTCTCTCTCCCTGCTTTCACAACCCTCTGCCCCTAACATTCAGTGGCAAGGAATTGGTAACATAGGACAGTGGTTCTCAACCAGAGGTACCTGTACCCCGAGGGGTACGCAGAGGTCTTCCGGGGGGTACATCAGCTTATCTAGATATTTGCCTAGTTTTACAACAGGCAATATAAAAAGCACTAGCAAAGTCAGTACAAACTAAAATTTTATACGATTTGTTTATACTGCTCTATATACTATACACTGAAATGTAAGAACAATATTTATATTCCAATTGATTTATTTTATAGTTATACGGTATGAATGAGAAAGTAAGCAATTTTTCAGTAATAGTGTGCTGTGACACTTTTGTATTTTTATGTCTGATGTTGTAAGCAAATAGTTTTTAAGTGAGGTGAAACTTGGAGTACACAAGACAAATCAGACTCCTGAAAGGGGTACAGTAGTCTGGAAAGGTGGACACACCCATCTAATCCTAATACTGCATAGCATATTTTCTGAAAAAAATCATTGCCTGTCATATGAGAAGCACAAATTGTACTGTAATAAGTATGGCTATCGTGAGTCTAACAAAACTGCTGCTAAAATCACTCTGTACTGCACATTGTTTCCTGTATTAAAAATATTTAATATTTTTACCCATTTTTTAACAATTCAGTACCAGGAATGTCTGTTGTTCTATTAACTGATACTGTTTTATGTTTTGTTCACAGCTGAGAGTCTTCAAATTGGCAAAGTCCTGGCCAACCTTAAATACTCTCATTAAAATCATTGGTAACTCAGTGGGTGCCCTGGGTAACCTCACCCTGGTTCTGGCGATCATAGTCTTTATTTTCGCTGTGGTAGGAATGCAGCTTTTTGGAAAAGACTACTTAATAAAAGTCAGCAAGATAAGCCCTAATAACAATTTGCCCCGCTGGCACATGAACGATTTCTTCCATTCATTCCTTATTATATTCCGAATTCTCTGTGGAGAATGGATTGAAACCATGTGGGATTGTATGGAAGTAGCTGGACAACCATTGTGCCTTCTCGTCTTCTTGCTGGTCATGGTGATAGGAAACCTAGTGGTGAGTTTTCATGATTGTTTTTTCCTATTTCTATTGTTTGTATGCAAATGTACTCCCTTTTCTCTCAAGAAGTTACAGATCTCCTGTGATGCACAGGTATTTCATATCTGTTACTTTCTGGAAAATAGTCTACTTTCTTTTTCACCCAAAGAACTCTTTTTCATATCTCAAGGACAAAAACTGCAGAATTGCTTTACTGATTTTGAAAAAAACTAGGCATTAGTTCTCAGAGGAACATAAAGGTTTTCAGTAGAAAAAAGGAACTTGAATTGATGATAATGATTCCTTTTACTTAAGTTCCACTAAAGGCTTGTGTGTTTTACTCAGATGTAAGTGATTCATGGGCCATGTGCTGTATACAAGAGTGAATTCAATTTAACTGTCTCCATACCAGAAGCTATTTTTAGTTCAGTTCATTTTTGGACAAGAACATACAAACCTTACAGCTAATATTGTGTCTTTGCACTGTCTTTGAATGTGTGTAGCCTGCTTGGTCTATGGAGTTTAGGTTATGTTTACTGTAAAGTCACTTCCTTGTTTGTTTTCTAGTAGAATATCCCATAAGTAAAGAATGAGTTACATAAGCTCTGAACCTATTAAGGCTCAATCTTATGTCCCTGTTGTCATTTTATGGAACACTTTGCTGGCTTGCAGTCATTGTGGAAATGTTTTGCTTATTCAGCTTACAGAGTGTGACATTATGGATCTGATGGGTTTGGTGTTGATACAGTAAGCTGTTTAACAGTGGATTTTGTCCCTGTTTGCTTTACATTATTCTTTTCAGAACTCAGCATTTTGGTTTGAAGCTCTTAGTATAGGATACCATGACTATGGGGAAAGGAATTGAAGGAAGCAGAGCGAGGCATTTATATTTGAAAGCTAAACTAAATTAAAAAGATCAGATTTATATTGAAAATATTTGATAGAGATTGCAAATTATCTTTTATGGCTGTTGACTGCAAAACAATGTAAATATTAAAATCTGGTTTTACAAAAGGTAATGAAATAGTTTTTTAAAATGTGCAGTTTTTACAGATTTTCCTTTGAAGCTACATTTGGCCTGAAGAATTAGGACACAGTGAATTTTTTTTCTGCATATCGAATATGCTTCTTTCTTGAGGGTTGGCAGAGGACCTGGGAAATTAACCTTCCCCCGCCTTTCATCCAAACAATTGTTTTATTCTTATTTAAACAATGGACTCAACTGTGTTAAAGAAAACTGAAAATCATATCTAATAAATATGAGAGATAATAAGTTAATAAACCAGATCATTCACTGTTACTTTCAGAGAGAGAGTGGTCAAGTCCATTTTTCCCTAGGTATTAACGCTCATCGTGTATCCTTAGCCTGCCTGCGTGAGGATCAGGAAATATAAATCAGATTCAGATGAGATTACACTAACATGGTATATATTTAAGCCTGAGTGCTTATCAGCAAACCTTTCCAAATGGAAAAACAGATACTGATAGAGTACATCAGCATGGATAATTCTGAAGTCACCAGCCTATCGAAAATACAAATGCTAATATTATCGTTTTCAGGAAACAATTTTGTAGGCATGCGGCGACTGCTAAATAATTTGGAAGTGATTTATTGTAGCTTAATTAGTTCATAAGAGGTAGGAGAAAGGGTGAGAATGTTTGGGTTTTTTTTTTAACCTAACAGGAGAAGGGGAAAGTAAATAGGATGACAAATTCTGAATCATGAGAGTTATGTAAATGAACCACATTACACACAGATTTCACAATTTTGGTCTTAATTATCAGATAGCAGATTATGGGTTCTGTTCTTACTGAAATCAGTCAAGAAATTCCTATTGCCTTCAAGTGAGTATTGGGTAGGACCCAGAATCTTTTACTCACCTGCTAAATAGAATTAAAGTCACAAAGTGTGTTTAGAATATGATTAGCTTAAATGAATCCTTCATCCTTCAGTGGGAGAAGGCTCCAGTCCTGTGTGCACTAATATATATATAGGAGATTTCTTTCTATAAATAACTCTAAGGCACTGGCATCTTTTGTCAACAAGGTTTTCGACTCATTTTGCTCCTAGTTTCTTATCTGGGTTGCAGAGCTCAGGTCTGAAAAGAAAAATATTTTCATGTTGGATTGCACCTCAGTTGGACTCAGAACTCTTTCCTAGACTCTGAGAGCATGAAGGAATGCATACCATTTCTGCATATATAGTGGGTCTTCATGCACATCAAGATTAAGTATATGTGAAATAAATGGATAGGTACTTAGAATAGTGTCCACAGCGTCTGTCCCTGCTCCATCTCTAAGTATTCCCATAATGTGGAGCATATTTACTTTTTAAACTCCTCCAGTCCTCTTTTTACCAATGAACTGGATTGGCCTTCCATGAAGCTAAATATGTACAGGTGATTCAGAGGCATACATGTTATGATTACATGACATTTGGCTTCTTGAATCTGGCTTGTATATACTGTTGTGCCTCACTAACATAAATTCTGATGTACCCTAAAGGGGACACATGGTAGCATGATAACCTCATGCTATGTAACAGTTTAGCTGTTGGTTGGCCAGAATTTTAGTAATTCCTAAATCTTCAGTAAAAAGAACAGGAGTACTTGTGGCACCTTAGAGGCTAACAAATGTATTTGGGCATAAGCTTTTGTGGGCTAAAACCCACTTCATTGGATGCATGCAGTGGAAAATACAGTAGGAAGATATATATACCCAGAGAACATGAAAAAATGGGTGTTGCCATACCAACTATAACAAGACTAATCAATTAAGGTGGGCTATTATCAGCTGGAGAAAAAAAACTTTTGTAGTGATAATCAGGATGGCCCATTTCCAACAGTTGACAAGAAGGTGTGAGTAACAGCAGGGGAAAAAATTAGCATGGGGAAATAGTTTTACTTTGTGTAATGACCCATCCACTTCCAGTCTTTATTCAAGCCTAATTTAATGGTGTCCAGTTTGCAAATTAATTCCAATTCAGCTGATACAGACTAACACGGCTACCACTCTAAATCTTCAGTGTAAATCCGTACTCCCTGAAAAGTGTATTGGTGTATTATGGTGTAAATATGGAATTCTGCTTATTGCTAGTCAATTGACATTGGAGTTATCTTTATAACATTGAACCCTAGATCATAGCCATGAAATTATGCACTGTGTAACTGTTTTTAGCACCATTATACCATGATGCTGTCATCACATTGCATCTCGAGTGTCACTGATGTTGCTCTGGAGGGTATTACAAAATCAGAGGAAGAATGTAATAGGCTCTCCCACACTTATAGGAAACAGCTTCTGAAATCTCTAACTGCATAATTATGTTTACAGTAAAATCTTACAAATGAGTTAGCATATTTCAGATAGAAATTTAGGTCATTGAGGTTAATAAGGCAAACTATAGACAGACAAGTTATTAAAAAAGGATATAGTCAGTTCTGTAATGAGGTGCTGTCTCATTCCCAGCTGCTGTTAGTGAAATCTACTTGTGCCTCATCATGTCATGTGGGCTGATGCTAAGGACCTACATGTGATGCCACTTGCCTTTCAGAGGAGAATTTTGTAAGATGAATTTGAAAATGTTAGAATACTAGCACTATACTTTAATATGATTGACAAAGCAATGCCAGAAGCAGCAACCTTGCAAAACTGCTTGTTTGCGCGCATACACTCCCGCACTTCTCCTTTAAAAGCTTTTGCTAAGTATTTTCCCTTTTACTCTGAAGATGTATACCAATGTGACATCCTCTAATGAGAGGCCACCAAGTTATGCCTGCCCCCTCCCCTTCCAAGCGCCTCCGGGACATCATCTTCTTCAGCACCACAAGCCTCTGCCAGATTTCACTGCTGCCTTTACCCACTTTCCTCTTTCTAGGGTTATAAACATCTCAAGATGCATTGTGTTTAATTAGGGAAAACAAAGGAAGTAATCAAGCAGTTGGCCAGCAGAACATGTCTTAAAGATACAGGGGAAACAGGCTTACCCTGCCAGACCTCTAGGGTTTCCTTAGTTACTTCATTGTACTTTATGGAGCATCTTAGGCCACAGAATGTAGAAAGTAGCAATGGGACCTGCAGGAGTGGGACAGAATTAAAAGAACAGGGGCATGAGGCTGATACATACAAGAACCACCAGGTGGAAAGCTACAGTATTAGAGGCCAGTTATTTAGGTTTTAATGTTTGTGACAATTTTACCTCAAGTTGGCTTAGGACAATTTTGTTTAAAAACAAACTCTAACTGCAATGATAAGGTAAGTGCCTGGCAGCGGAGCTGCCCCACATGGCTTAGATGAGATTTGAACTGGCCTGCTTTAGTGGAACCCAGTGGGAACTTTTCTGTTAAAAAAAAGCTAGATGTGCCTGGAGCCTGTTTCCCCCCCCACTGTTTTCATTTCTCACAAGCCTTTAATGCATATTCTTTCTGCCTTAACATCACATGATACATGATTGTGACACACTTAGAAATCTTCAAATGTCAGCATTCTTGAAACAGAAAGCTCGTCCGTCTCTGTTTTCAGGTTATAACTCTTATCATGCAGGATAGAGAATCTAATTAGAAGGTTCCTTCAAATGGAATTCTGGGAGGATGATAGTAAATTCAGGTTAAATGAAAACTGTAGTCTGAAATTGGTTTTATGCCAGCATTCGTCAAACCTGGTTCACCACTGTGTTACTCTACTTTTGTTCCATTGATAAAATAGTGTAAATTTGTCTTCAGTAGAATTTGCAGCGGTGTGAGTAGAGAATCAGGGCCAGTTACAGAAGATATGATGATCCAAGCATGACATTTCAGCCCCTCTCCCCACATTCCATCACAACAGACATCAGTGAAGGAGCACTTGCTGACAGTCCCTTGATTTGTACATCCTGAGGCAGGATGGAGTAAGGCTTTGTTCTTGATGGAGTAAGGCTTTAGACTCTACAACTCACTTCCCCCATTGGTCTGACAGAGCCTGACTTCATTGACATTCAGTGTACATTTCCACAGACTGGTCCTGTAGTTCAGGCAGACCAC